TAGAAACTGGATATTATGTTTCAAATTTACTGGGGTGGTTCAGATTGACAGATATTGCAGTCCAATATCTCTGGAGAATATCAAATGCGAAACGATTAGGAGTTAAAGAAGCTTTCTCTCAAATGTGGGCATTTTAAAAAACATTCTGGTATTTCGCAATTCACTTCTAAAGAAACTCCAGTAGCAATATATAAATTGGTCAAACCGTATCAATCATATTATTTGAAACTTAATGTTCAAATCTGTTCCTAAGGGAGAATATCCCAAACCATTTGCAGAATCCAGCCAATTTGTGATGAGCTACTACATCCTTGTCTTTAAACAGGATTCATTAGCAAAGTAGATAATGAATAATGAATTTCTCATCCTTCATTCCGCCTCCTCCGCTCGCCCAGTCATTACAGGGTAGCCCTAATGTTCAAAGAGATTGCAAAAGCAGAATTATATTTCATTGCCTTTGCTAATTAAGCATTACATTTCCCCAGACATTTTTCAGATATGGAGGTTATTTCGTATCTGTTTTGAGTTTAACTGGAATTCATTTTGTGCAAACTAGGTATCCACGGGGCTGCCCAAGTATGTCAGGATTCAAATTTAGCACTCTTTCTGTTGAGATCAGCACAGAACCCGGCCAGTTTGGAGTCCTTATGTTCAGCTTGAGAAGTATTTGGAAGTCTATTAGACACAACTACATCAAAATGACTTTTAGCACAGCAACATCTATATGTAATGCTTTTCCTGGATTACGTCTGGAATATCAAATCACTATCACACTGGCACTCAAGAGAATTTTCAGGAAGCCAATCAGTGTATAGCCTTTAAGTAGCAGAAATCAGTTGATGGAAGAGAATAAAGATGTCCCTGCGGATTTTACCCAGCTAGTCGTGACTTTAGGGGGAGGTGCTATTCTCCATTTCTTAAGCCAAAGAGCCAGAAGTGTCTGGAGACATTTCTGCGATCATGTGGCCAGCATATCATGCTGCAGCACAGAGCTTCAGGTCAAACATGGAATTCTGTTACCTTCCTGTATGCTTATATGTGGTACCTATTCATCTACTTGCATGTTCATGCTTTTGAACTGCTGGGTTGGCAGGAGCTGGGACAGATGACCAGAGCTCACTCCGTCTTGTGGCATTTGGGTCTCAAACTGCTGAGCTGTAGGCATTTAACGATCTAAATCTTAGCACCACTGAGTCACTAAGTCCCTGTTAATGGAAAGCATACAATTAAAATATGTATGCTGGATATTCAAATTACTTGTGTGATACCATACACATTTTGAAAATATTACTTTTGGTACAGCAACCTGTATCTTGTAGGTACTATTTTGGGAGTTATGCTACCCATTGACTACAAATTGCAGGTATGGTTTTCTTTAGTGAATTCACTAAGCTTGGAAGCTTTCCCCAACCTCTGGAGAAAAAGTGGCTTTCCATTCAATTTAACATCACAAAAACCACCTCTCATTGCCATCCTCCAGAGTAGGTTTTTCAAACGTTATCAGGATACAGATCTCCCTCTATCTATCTATCTATCTATCTATCTATCTATCTATCTATCTATCTATCCTACAATTCTGAATACTGGCTCCATTCAAGTGAATTTTGTGTTTTGCCATCATAGTTCATGAGATTTCATCAAGTTATTGTGAAATACTATTTCAAAAACTTTACCCTAATGTCACTCCTAACAGCGACAGACAAATGAAGTCAATTCAACTCTCAAGTGAAAATTGATCAAATTATGAAAACGGAGAGAGAAATATGTCCTTTCCTGGTCGTCTTTAAATTCAAGTATTTCATGCTGCCCGCTAAGTGATTTTAATGCAGATAAAAGTCAACTTATTGTAAGAAGAGAATAATGAGACATTCTAATGAGAAGATCTGGTTAGAATCTACAACTCATCAAAGTCATTTGTTCTCTCAATGGCCGCTGGTTTCTGACTATCAGAGACCTTGAAGAAACTGTTTAGCATAGAATATACTTAAACTAAAACAAAATACATTCTGGGAAACAGAGCAGAACTACATTGTATTGCTTTGTGATGACAGATGACAGGAGAGCTCCTATTTTATATTTAATGTATGAAGTCAAGGAAAGTATTGAAGAAAAATATTAAATATTTAAAGACATTAAGAATAAAGATTCTTCCATCTTGCTCCTGCCTAGGTGAGGAGTAGGGTTATTAAAGTCAGTGGAGAGGTATGCATATGCCAACAATCCCTAGGAATTGAGGTCAATTTGAAGGAGACAAGAGTATGTAGCCTTAAAGTGAGGCAGTAAAATAGGTTGATCAGGGAGGAAAATAAATAATGTTTATTTATCCATTGTAATTACAGATAGTCGCACTGCACCTTTATAGAACATTAAGATATATCTGTGATTCCTCTAAAAGCAATGGAATAACTGCAATCTTCAAGAGGCTATAACATACAATTCTCTAGGGTTGCGTTAAAAACTCTTAAACGTTGGGTTTTCTGCTTCAGGTAAAAGCTGTCCATCTTACTTGGTCTGTCTAAAAGTAGATGAAGATGCCCATCCCTTGAGAGATTAGGTTGGCATTCTTAGTGACAGCCCTTTCACTTTGGAACAGTACCACATGAGATCAAGCTGGCATTTACACTTTATACTTCATGAAAGAGGTAAAAACTTTTTCTATAAGATTGTTGGGAAGGGAGTTTAAACTAAAGCAAGCCACAGATTTCTTTAAGCATGTAGGCATTTAAATGTGTGCATATATGTGTGTGAATATGTATATGTGGCTGTGCATGTGCATACTCTACTTTAGCATTATTCAATGACAATAGATCACATATTTGTCTGGAGGCATCCTCAGGCATTGAGCATTTGCAAACAAAATATTTGCAAAAACATCCTGCATGTTTTTCAGTAGGTAAGTGTTTTTTTATATTTAGTGGCATACAACAACGAACACTGAATGCTTTCTACTTTACAAATCTAGTCAGAGAACTCCAACTTAAATCAGTTATCACTTCCCCTACCATACCTGAATTTGTGCTAATAAAGAGTTTCATAAATAAAGATAAAGATAAATAAAGATAAAGATAAATAAAGATAAAAATAACAAAGAGTTTTTTAGACTGGCTAGGTGGCTCAGTGGCTAAGACGCTGAGCTTGTCGATCAGAAAGATTGACAGTTCGATGGTTCGAATCCCTAGTGTGAGCAGGGGGTTGGACTAGATCAGAGGTGGGTTTCAGCAGGTTCTGACCAGTTCTGGAGAACCAGTAGCGGAAAGTTTGAGTAGTTCGGAGAACCGGGAGTAAAAATTCTGACTGGCCCCACCCCCATCTATTCTCTGCCTTCCAAGTCCCAGCTGATTGGAAAGAAATGGAGATTTTGCAGTAACCTTCCCCTGGAGTGGGGTGGGAATGGAAATTTTACAGTACCCTTCCCCTGCCAAACCCAGCAAGCCACACCCACCAAGCCACACCCACAGAACTGGTAGTAAAACAATTTGAAACCCACCACTGGATGAGATGACCTCCAAGGTCCCTTCCAACTCTGTTACTCTTATTATTATTATTATTATCATAGTCTAATTGTATATTTTCTGTGACTCCTACAATAAATCCTTAGTAGGAACAAGGTTTCTGAGGAAATAATGTATTGAAGGCAGGAGAGATGCATACCTTCTGTCACTATACATGATCGACAACCGAAGACATTCATTTGGAAGATTTTGATATTAACCGAGCAATAGCAAAAAATATAAAACGACTCTGCTTGGGAACACTGCCAGATTGCCCAGTACTTCGAGTTGACACATGTAATTCCCCCAGGAGCGACTTTAATAGAAGAATGGATTGAAACTGGGCCTTCTATTGGAAGGGAAATCACTCAAAGACTGTAAAAGTAAAACCAGCCAATTTAAAACTGCCAGCTGATTTCAGATACTTGCTGGGTACTTTTATCATTATCAGCCTTCAACTGTTCCATCCAGTATGTCTGGCACATTAAAGAGTTTCATGGACAAAGCATCACAGCCTTGATGTAGTATAAAAATAAAACCATCCCTAACTGAAGTCAATGTGTTTTATGGCGATAGTTATCTTGAAGGTGATAGTTGGTCTTGAAGAAATGGTTTGTGTTCCGTTCCATTGTTTTTATTTCTCAGTTCAATCTACAGCTGTAGATTTCCTGGTGGTCTCCTATTTAAGCCCTAACTAGAACTGTCCCCTTTCCAGGCTTGCTTAGCACTCCTGTGATCCAGCAACCTTGTCTTTTATACTGCTACTTGCTGTGACTAAATTGAACATATGATCACCCATTCAAAGTCTCGGTAAGAGGCTTTATTAGAGTCGGGTACAAAGGATGTAGAGTTAAACTGCAAAGCAAATGATCATCCAAGACAGGAACTTCCACAGTCCTTTACAAGCATTTGCTACAATAGCTTTTTTTGGTTGCTGGTCTACCATTGTCATTATCCTTTCCATGGTATACAGTAGACAATGGCTGTCTTTTCGCCAAAATAGGACAAGGCAGCAGCAATTGCTACCTACATCCTTCTGCACCTGCTGAAAAGCTGTGCTGCCTCTCTGTTGCAGAAGCAAGGGGGGGGGGAGAGAAAAGAGAGAGAGAGAGTTTCAGAGAAGGATTAGCCTTCTCTAATTTGGTAGATTTGGTTGCCTGGCCCTTTTCTAATACTGGGATTCTCTAACAGGATAGCAGAGTTGGAAGGGACCCTGGAGGTCTTCTAGTCCAGCCCCCTGGTCAAGCAGGAAATCCTACACCATTTCAGTCCAAGCTCTTCTTAAAAAGCTCCAGTTTGGGAGCACCAACAACTTCTGGAGACAAGTTGTTGCATTGATTAATTGTTCTAAACCTTCTATTCCACAAAAGGCTTCACTTGTTCAACCAGCCTAGTATTTGGCTCTATTAATTCAATGCATTGATTTCCTTTGGGCAGGGAGTCCCATTCCAGCCACTGTAATTCTACTTAGTAAAAGGTGCATCTTCTACGGTAGTGGGTTCCACTTACCTTTGCTACTGGTTCGGAACTGTGAGCGCTCACTTGCGGTGCTTCTGCGCATGCGCAGAACCTTCTGCACATGTGCAATGTCCGTGATGACTGGCGGGCGGGTGGGCACAGCCTCCTGCCGCCGCCACTACCTGTTCACCTGAACCGGGCGAACTGGTAGAAACCCACCACTGATCTTCTAGATATGCTTCTGGAAAGAAAAACTGGACTCCTAACTCTTGTTTTCCATTCATTTTGCTCTAAAATAGCATAATGACTCATTGCAATCACTGCCCAAATCACTAGGACTTGGGAGTTGATGAACTTCTCAGAGACAGAATTATTGGGACAGATGTTGTAGTCAGCCATGGTAACAAGCACAAGGATTATATACAATCAATGAACATGATCTCCCAGCATTACCACTGCAGGCTATTAGTTAGGGGAGCAAGCACATGTCAAAGAGGTGTTGCCATAGCAATAGTGTGGCATTATTATAGTAATGCATTGATTGCCAATTACTTACCGCTAGAATGAAATTGTAAGGAAATTGAATATGTATACGATCGCTATTTCTCTCCCTCATTCCTGGCCTTAAGAAGTCCATAATCTAAAAATAGGTACAAGTAGAGAAAAGTAAGAGAAATGAAAATGAGGTCAGGGGTCAACAGGGAAAAAATACACAGTCTTTCAATTTCCCATATTCATGTATAATTAAAGTGGAATAAAAAGGTACTATGAGTGATATGAATGACTGAGGAGGAATTGGAAGAATGTAACAGAGGGAACAATAAGGATACATCTATAATCTTCTCAATGCTAGATTTCCAAAATTACATTTTTATATAAGAACAGAGACTGTCATTATTTCACTCTAGGTAGGACAAAATAATGAAATTGCATGGGTTGAGATCTGTGCCTATGACCCAAACTATTTTTAGTCTACTTTTTCTTTGTATAGCAATTGTCAAAACTATTTGCTAACACAAAAGCAGTACTCTATGAAACAGCTACTAATATGTTGCCAGAAGTAAATGATTCAATAGTTGGGCAATCTACCTTTAAATATCTATTGACCTCAGAGGCAGCCCACCGTGTCCCTGTATGATTCACTGGAAGAATTTAGGTCAAACCAATCATTTTCCATTATGCAAGGGAAATGCTGCATTAAATATATTAGACCAGTCAGTTGGCCACAAAGCAAAATTATCATGGAGTGACCGGCTGGGTTACCTTTTTGTGCTTCGACACAATCATTCCCGTATCAGGCAGGAATTTCCAGAAGAGGGGCTCATACAGATACATATAAGAATGAGCCCTGTTGCAGATTTTTTATATGGTGGTTGTTTTTCAAAATGTAAGTATCTGAGTACCTATATGAGTACCAAGCCCAAGGCTGAAAATTACTCAGCTGGCTTCATGCCCACGGAAGGACTAGAACTCACAGCCTCCCAGTTTCTAGCCTGGTGTCTTAAAACACTGCACCAAACTGGCCTTCGAGAGATATTATTTCAATAATATCATGAGTAAGAACAGTGTTAAGGTCAAGATGGGAAGCTTTTATGAATGTAGTCTGTTTTAGTGTCTATGTATATACTAGACTGATTGATGTCATGTATATACCAGTCCATTAAGGAGGGTGACGCTCTTTTTAAAGCTCTATTAAAAAAATAAATACATCCATTGTTTTCATTTGTAGTTTTTGCTGCTATATGACACTTCTAAATATGTAGCTTTAAACATAAATGTGTTGTGGGGGAAAAACAGGAGAGTGGAGCAATATATATATTGCTTTGAACTCCTAAACAGAATCAATGGTATATATAGCTAATGAATACATAACATTATAAAACTAAATTTTGTTTGTAGGCACTTGTGTCTCACCATCTCTCTCCCTCCCTCCCTCCCTCTAACTCTCCATCCTCGGTTTAGGAATTTGCAATATAAATTTCATTTCTATATTTTTTTTTCACTCATCCCCCTTTCTTATTTTTTTTTCCCTTCCTATATTTAGTTTTTGCATCTTGGTGCTCAAAGATTAACTTTTTGCTGTCATCTAGGGTTGTCAGAAGTTTTGCAACCCTGGAGCACTCCTCATACTTTCACAGATAGTATTAATGCCCAGTGAGATAACTCAAGATTCCTAGAATTGGAAAAATTATTAGTGTCCACAGGCTCTTAGTGTGTGTGTGTGTGTGTGTGTGTGTGTGTGTGTGTGAGAGAGAGAGAGAGAGAGAGAGAGAGAGAGAGAGAGAGAGAGAGAGAGAGAGAGAGACGGAGAGATCATGACACATACAAAAGGAACAGTTTTTCTTATCAGACTAACCTGTTTAATTCCCTGCTTGACAAAATCTATTGGAAGTTTAAAATAAATAGAGAATAGGATGATGTAATGGTTAAGGTGATAGCCTAAGACCTGGGAGATACGAGGGCAAATCTATTTTCAGCCCGGAAGCTCACTGAAAGCCATTAAATCAGACATTGCCCTTCAAACTAATTTACCTCACAGTATTGTTGTTTGGTGAAAAATTGATGGAGAAAATGCAATTTATATTACCTTGAGTTCCTGGAGGAAAGCCAGAATATATATTTGATACATAAATAAATAAAACCTAATAAACAAGAAGCTATAGGCGCAATATGATAGCTTGGATTCAGTTTTAAAACTCCTGAAAACCTAAAGATGTCTTTAAAAACTCTTCTTCGCTTCTGTGTACCTAGCTGAATTTAGAGAGGCTCCCCTTAAGGAGGATGCTGGCCTAAGCAAGATCTGCATCCATGTTTGTACTGGATTAGACAAACAATCATCTGAACATTTCAGGAGAATTAGTAGCTTGTAATGTGTTGCCTCAGGCAAAGCTCCTGCGCTTGCTGCATTAATTAAAAATAATGAGAACTACACCAGTGGAATAGGGCAAATATGTTGATGCTAAGGAAAAAAGCTAATGTTTCTTGCAGAAAGAAAAAGAAGCTCTTAGAAATTTTGTCCTTTGTACTTTACAGACCAGCCCCTGAAATCTCAACACTCATCTTTTGAATGAATCTTTGCATCATTTCTGGATGACGTTGCGTTGTTTCACTGCTTTCCTTTATACATATAAGCAGACTGTGTTCCCTGATTATTCCAAGTTGCTACGATTGCTGTTACAGTTCAATGACCATGTTCATAGGATATACGCCTCATGTGATCAGTTAAAGAACAAGGAGATGCATCCGTGCAACTTGCTCGGCTTGGAGACTATTTTAACTATGAATATTTTTTTTAAAAAAATAGATGCGCACATTGTAAAAACTGAGCCTATTGGGCTTCTTCACAGTTCATTTGCAATGGATTATTTCATGAATCAGGTTAAGTATAGCATAGCCAATAAATAAAACCATCAAGGTATCAATGTTTGAGCTTGAATGTATAGTCATATGGATTTTTGTTCTTCCTTTAAATGTATGTATTTTCTTTTAAAATTCATATTACAGCAGTATTTTTGGTAAAGGAGATGGTTGAACCTGCATACCCCATTTTCTTGGGGGGGCGGGGCGGGTAGGGATAAGGTAGTCTTTCTATTTCATGCCTCTGAAATGCAATAGGAAAGAGAGTCCTCTATTACAGGCACACATTTTGCCTTTAAAATTGCCATACCTCACAAACATAGGACTACAATTTCAGCTGATCTTTTTTTCAATGAAGTTACTTGTTCACTGCTACACCCTCTGGGCCTTTGGTGACCATTAAAAAAAACAAAGATCTATCTGTCTGTCTGTCCGTCCGTCCATCCGGGGTGTGTGAGAAATTTACTTCCCTTCGCTACCGGTTCACAAATGTGAGCGCGCGCGCACAACACCTCTGCACATGAGAAGGACCTTCTGTGAATGCGCAGAGGGTCAAAAACAGGACGTGATGACATCTGGGTGGGTGGGCGGAGCCTCCCGCCGCCAGCACTACCGGTTCGCCCAAGCCAGATAGAACCAGCTCAATTTCACCCCCCCTCTCGCTATCTCTATCTATCTATCTATCTATCTATCTATCTATCTATCTATCTATCTATCTATCTACAGTATCTCCCCAATCTAAAACACTCTGGGAGTCTTGCTTTATAATTGTTGATCAAGAAGGCATAATGTGGCATAATATATGCTAAAAATTATAATTGGGAGTGATATGAGCAAACAGAATAAGGTTAGCAATACAGATCTTCTTGGTCTATAAAAAAGGGCTCTAGGCTAGAACTGAATACTTCAAGACACTTTCTTCTTTTGTCCGGCCTGCGCTTACATAACTGCATTCCATGGCTAACAAGTCTATAAAAAGAATGGGGAAGAGGTGCCGGTGAAGAATAAAATCTATGCTCTGCTACTCTCAAGCCTGCATTAAGGATAGATGACCCAAGGTACACAGAAAAAATTGGCTCTCGCTAGAATAACACCTTTGCTTGGCTGTTACATGGCATACTGGGGAAAGAGCAAGCACAGCCTTAGAAGGAACACTCACTTTTCCCATGTGAAAAGATATTTTGCTCTCAATTGCTCTGTGCTACAAAGAAAGTAGGTTACAAGAGAGTTGAGGGTGTGAAGCCGAGCAGTCTCAAAAGCAATTACATGCCAATGTATACAGTTCAATGTTGATTCAGCTACTAGCTGTCTCGATTCTCCCTGATTTCTCTTGACTTTCTCATTTCTTAAAAAGCTAAGGGAAAATGTCAATTCTTTTAATGTAAACACACAAACACACACACAGGGGAGGGAGGGAGACAGAAACTATAGGTAGTCGGAACATTGTCATGTAGACAGGAATACCAGCTTATATTTACTAGCTTCTGTTCCTTTAAGCAGAAATTAACAGGTTTTTTTATAACATGTGATCTGCAGGTCAACCAAGAATGCTTTCCATGTTCCTAATTAGAAAGAATGAGAAAGGGAAAGGCAGGAGACTCCATTTTTGCCCCTGCTTTTCCTTACCTGCATTTCCCTGGCTTTGTCATTGTTAAGCAGACTTTGCTGGATTATGCCTCTTTTCTTCAGTGGCCTCTTGTCACCGCTCCAAACTTACATGCAGAAATGTTGTGATTTTTATTTTGTTTCACAGGAAAGTGATGGGTGTAGAAGGAGTGAAGCAAGAGGTGTGGTTGTCTTCACTTGCAAAACCGTTTTATAAAAGTTAAGCAGGACTGCAAAGCGATCAAACCGGTCAGTCCTAGAGGAGATCAACCCTGACTGCTCTTTAGAAGGCCAGATCCTGAAGATGAAACTGAAATACTTTGGCCACCTAATGAGAAGGAAGGACTCACTGGAGAAGAGCCTAATGCTGGGAAAGACTGAGGGCAAAAGAAGAATGGGACGGCAGAGAATGAGGTGGCTGGATGGAGTCACTGAAGCAGCAGGCATGAGCTTAAATGGTCTCCAGAGGATGGTAGAGGACAGGAAGGCCTGGAAGAAAGTTGTCCATGGGGTCGCGATGGGTCGGACACGAGTTCGCAACTAACAACAACATATACATTACACACACACACACACAAAAACACACACACATAAATTTGGCAGTCAGGTTATACATACGAATGAAAATAGAATAGAAAGCCAGAAGCTACAGTAAGTGATGCGGTATGTTCTAAAACC